GAAATACATCTGATTGTGGTAAGATGAGTGCCGTGTATGCAAACAAGCCCATGTGCGAAAACATCTAGGCGCTTTGTTGGTGTCTTCCTTTGTCAACAGAGGCGCTGGGAAGGCCTGAACCGTTCACACCCATTTCAACAAAGTCTCGTCTCCTAAGCTTCATTTTGCTTGTGTACTCACCTAAGTAAATGTCACCGAAGGATCCACTTCCTATCTTCCGTCCAAGACGGTACTTGTTGCCAACCCTTAACTCCATCCTGCAAGAGAAGGACATAAAGAATCATATCAGTGCTCTCCCAGCCACCCAAAAGGACCAGCCATCTTGGAATCAACAATAACAAGAGCTCTGGCTGGCTCTGACATCGGTAGACATTTTGCAAGTTATCTCCTTACCTGCTTCACCAGCACCTCGAGTCTCCACACACAAACAATATCGAATATGTATACTTTTATCTCATTATTGTATATATCCTCTGGAATTCAATATAGCGTCAGATTAGGTGGATAAATCCGAGAGCTCCTGAGCCACTGTCACCATGTTCACAAGGGCCCGGAGGAACACTGGCTCAGCTGGCAATGGCGAGAGGGCAGCACGCACCGGCCGCGCCCAGCCACACTGCTCCGTTCCTTCCTCTGGCCTTAGTGCGCGTCCAAAAACATTTCGTGGAGCAAGCTCTTCAGGTCTGCCACTCAGAGCATGTAGTAGAAATGGTGACTCTGGGCAAGAAAGGATGTGTTGGTCGTGTTGGACGTGTTGGGATTTGTAAATGTGTGTTCTTTCGTGTGGATATTCTCTTAACATGAGTCCCTGAACGAAACATAATGGAAGTAAGGCTCAATGAAGAGCGTTTGGCAGCAGAAGCTTATACTGAGGGAAACAACTACTATCAGCTGATTTCTTCCCGTCTTATTTGAGTACATGGTGTATGTAATGTTACCAAAAATCAAGAGAAAATTAAAAATAGAAAAGGAAATAACATCTATACTCATAGAAAAACGTTCCTCACGTCAAAATACTTCACAAAAGATGAGATGTTACAAACGCTCCATCCCGTATATTTTGAGGCGGCAACATTCATCGGGCCCGACTTGGCCAGTGTTTTCATTTTATCTTACATAATACACGAGATAACTGATTATGAATGTATTAGAGAAAAAAATATCCAAACCGTAACACTTATCACCACACATCCGCGATAGTGGTCCTCCCAATTCGCTTCTGATGGGAAATCACATATGAAGGCATAGACAGAAATAACAGTTATCAGTAATATCGGGCAGTACATAAGTACATAATACAGAAATAATCACGTACTGTATGTAGATTCCCCGTTCCTCACTTCCCCCTCGCGCCAGAGGACCTCACACGGGCCTGTCACTTTCTACACCTACCACCCAACTTTCTATAACGCACATGTTTCAAGAAACGATCGCAACACATATTTACGTACATCTTAATATCAACGAGTGATCAACAATTCCAAGAGCCGCCAGAGCGAAGACACAGATGTACACACAACATCCACAGGCGGGAGCACAACAGGCGGGACCTCCAACCACACACAGCAAGATAGCGACTCTGGCCACCCGCGGCTGTCTGAGTCAGTCCTCCACACTAACCCTCACCCACACATACGCACGTACACCCGTCGGTACGTACAAGCGCACACACAAACATCACATGCATGTACGCATGTTCTGTAGCTACCTTGCATATGGAGTAGTTATTTTTTAATACTAGGGATTCTGTTGTCTGTTTGGATCAATTCTTATGACAAAACCTAGAAATGGAATGTAAAGGTTTCTGTAGTAAATAGTTTCATGCCATTCGACACTCGTTAATGACCTGATAGTATTCTAGACTCACACGCTGCGAGGTAGTGTGTACACATGTGCACTGTGAAGGTTTGCCCTCGTGCCGACCATACCTGTGCCCGCCCGTTCTTTCTTTTTTCTTTCCTTGCTTTTAACCTTACCGCAGAAAGATATCACGTCGCCTTTCTGAGTCCTTACACTCAGCGTTTAAACGAAATCTTTGATGTACAGATATAAATATTAATAAGTAAAACGAGGATAATTTGCAGCAATGAAGGCAATACTGGATAACATGGGACAAATTAATGTTATACACTTCTGTTACACGCGCCCTTCAACATGTCACCTGCGCTATGTTGCTTGCGTCTTGCACTCGTATTTTGTGAAAATCTTACTTTCTTTTTTGTCCCCCTTGCGATTTGATATTACGTTCATCTCATTGAATTGTTAATTTCAAACAGATTCTTCCAAACTGATTTTAAATCAGAGGTAAAAGGAATCACATAATTTGCTTCTTCCACGTATAGGAAATTCTTCCAGACTCTCCCTTTATCCCAGCACATTTGTCATTCCAGCAATCAGTGAGCCAGTGGGAGCCCGCGTGGCACTCTCCATACCAGGCGCGTTGGGAGCGAGACGTGGGCGAGGTTCCGGGTCAACATTACATTACACAAGGTCGCGAAAG